CTGTGACTCAGGCTATCCAGTGATTGGTGAAGGTTAATGCTTGTGCTTTCTCTGCTAGCCGAGATGCCGCGCCAATTCCCCAAGCTGAACATCTCCGAGGTGGACGAGCAAGTCCGGCTCCTGGCTGAGAAGGTGTTTGCTAAAGTGCTCCGAGAAGAGGACAGCAAAGATGCCCTGTCCCTCTTCACCGTGCCCGAGGACTGCCCCATCGGCCAGAAGGAGGCCAAAGAGAGGGAGCTGCAGAAGGAACTGGCGGAGCAGGAGTCTTTGGAGACCGTGAAAAGGTTTGTCCCCACCACTCAGCTGTCGTGTGCATAGTTGTGCAGACCCGGGCAGACTGTGGACGTTCGTCCTGAGTTGAGGCGGCTCATGAGAACGGACCTGCCCCTGAGAGCTGAGTTTATTTCTTAACCCAAACCACTTCACCACCACTTATTTCTTGAAGGACATTTCGGTGCCTCTGTTTGGTTGAAAAGATAAAAAACCACTCTTTGCTATTGTTTTCATAATGAATCAAGTACAGAAATACACACCATTTCCAAATGAAGTTTTCATTTTCTTCTTGGAAATTTCAGGATTTCTTGGGAAATTTTGATTTTACTTTTCATCACTTGACAAGTACTTTGCATTATAATTAACTCAGTTCACTATTTACCAAGTTCTGTGCTGGGAAATAGGGATGTACTAATGAACAAGATAGATGTAATTGCCCCCCCTGTACAGTTTACAGTTGGTCTAGACAATAATGAAGTAACTGGAAAATTAATTAAAAATGATAAGTTATGTGCTGTATCAGTCAGGGTCTAATCAGAAAAACAGAAACCACTTGAGTATTGGAAATAGGATTTTCATGCAGGGAGTTGGTTACAGAGGTGATAGAGAACTGAGAAGAAAAGCAGGGGAGAGGGAGGTAGCCCAGAGATTAGGCACAGTAGGAAACAGTTACCACTGTAAGCTGGAGGGACAGTGGAAAGAGGGTGGAGAAGTTGGAACTTCAGTGGCCTTTCCAATGGTCACTGGAGCCAAGGAGGAAAAGCAACAGCTGCAGAGATGCCTCCCAAGGCAGAGATAGACACAGGAGATACCTGGCTTCAATCCTTCTGGCACCTTCCAGTTAGTTTCCCCCAGTGGTTGCCATTGGCCAAACCTAGCCAGAAGCCAGCTGACGCATAGCTGGAAATAGGGGAGGGTAAGGAGTGGATCTGAGGACAAACAGGCCCAGGCCCAGGCCAGGTGCTCTGAAGGAGATGAACAGGAATTGAGGGGGGGGG